GAAAAACTTCAAGACGCACACTACAAACTGGAGGAAGAACTTGGGCGAAAATTGTTCACTAGTAACAAAGCGTCACTGCTTCGGCATCGGAAGAAGATTTCTCAGGCTCGTGCTTGAATTCTAGAGGATAGGTTTTATATTATAATAGAAATACCTGTGATGCGAACTACTGGCAGATTTTACTGGATTTGAACTAAAGCTATGCAAGAGTATTTAAGAGGCAGAGCGATCCATTTCATCTCTTTCGATATATCTGGGAGCCGGAGGAAATGGGTTCAGTGTGCTACTTACGACTCTGGCTTCCTCATTCGTATCATCTTTCATCTGTGAATCCTACTGATGAAGAAGAAAGTATTTTCACAAGGCTTGGGCTGAAATTAGAAGGCTTGGAGTGCCATTTCATATAGAATGTTTTTTTATTGGAAGTTCCTTTGGGGCGTACCTCTAGCAGAGCAGACTGTAATACATTTGAACTTCACAGATCAAGCCACAATACTTTGGTATCAACGTTTTCGACATGCTTGTAAGGCAGTGTAATCCACTAGGCAGAGCCACCGACATCAGCTTCAGTTTTTAGGCTCTTATTAAGTATCCGGCAGCCGGATGGAGTGAGGAGAGAAGTTTCAGCTTAGTTATTACGACTCAAGCTTCCATATAGGGACTATCTATAAACCGAATTGGTGCATGTGCTTAAACTCGAGTGCTTACACTAACTGGAGGTTCTGATTTTAAAGACAGTATTTGTGAAACAAACTTTTGTCAGAGAAGATTTTATTAGATTTGAACTCAAGAGATTTAGTCATAAGACCTCGGAAGTATAGTTTGTCGGTGTATCTGTCAGTGTAAGAGTAGTTCACCGAACGAAAAACAACAGTTTTTGGAAGTGTGCGGATTTGAGTCGATAAGAAGTGAAGTTTCGGCTTAGTTTTAAGCTCTCCATATTATGCTGTAGTTCAGTACTCCTTCTGTTGATTTCTAGTTCTTCATCAGTTTCTTCAATTCAAAATCAGTCTAGCTTCACCACAATTCCAGTTCCCATTTCCATTACGTTCAGTTTCAATTAAAACCAGTGTAAGTCTTTAGTCTGCCAGCATTGAATGTAGTTCCCTTATTTTGAGGAGCCAAAACAAGGTTTCTAAGCATAGTTCTGGAGAAGAATTTTAGTCTCAAAGAATCTGTATCGTTCAGAGAGCCAGAAGGCCTCCTTAGCCTTGGAATACCTTTAAAAAATATTTCGCTGAAGAATAGGGCTTAAACCAGATAATCACGTGAAGGTGGGAACAAAACTTTGTCCTGTGGCAAGTCTTATAGAAGAAGATCGAATGGCTTACTTTATAAAAGGCTGGTATACCAAAGATGATTGGAACTGTATTAATCAATCAATAAAAAACCAATAAGTTAAAGAATTTTCTCTCCATCTCTAATTTCCCTTCAAACTTAAAAATATTTTAAAATAATTTTTTTTACCAAAAAAATCGAATTCTGCGTTGGCGCCACATAAATGTGCTATTTTTCTTTTCACTTTTCAAATCCACACGGCAACCACACTGATTTAGTGCAACCGCATCCGTTGTGAGAAAATAATTACCCTGGTGAGGCGAAATAGAAAGTGATTACGTAAGAGAATGTGTAAAAAAAAAGAGCAGCATAAATATTTTTAAGGTTTAAAAAAGGATGATAGAGAAGAATTAAAAGAAAATATTTTTGAGCAGAAATTAAAATTTATGACATTTTGTATTTAAGGCAATTGGAATTTATGATGTTGAGTACGTATTGAAAAATACAGTTATGAGGTTTCAAAACAGTAATGCTCTCATTTAGTAGTTAAGAACTTGTAATGTGGTATTATGCACGCTTAATTAGGTGGAAATATGTAAATGGGATTGAAAAATGTGTAATTTTGAAGATTTTAAATTATTCCAATCACAGAACTTATTACTCAAAAACAGGATTTTGTGCCAAAACTTCATCACCTACGTAGCTATTTGCATGAAATTTGGTATGCTGCTTACATATTTAGCGTGGAATAATGCCAGTGAAATTAAGTATAATCCGACTTTTACAATATATGGCTGTCATACAAACTTATGTTCAAAAACAAAATTTTTCGGTATAAATTCATCAATTTTGTAGCTTAAGATAAGAAATTTTGTCACAAACATACATTTTAGGAGTATATTACTACTAGTGAAAATCTTGAAAATCAAACAACTGCAACATAGTGCTGCCGTACAACATATCATTCAAAAACAAGGTTTTCGTTCATAAATGCTTTATTTGAGCAGCTAAAAATATATAATTTTACACGAAGCATTTGTATTAAAATTGCCTTATTGAGCGCAAAAATTATAGCTATCGGTTTACAAAAACCCATAGCTGCCATACAAATTATTGTTCAAAAACAGCGTTTTTTGTTGTAAATCCTACAATTATGTAGATACAAAGCTGAAACTTGGTACTGATTATTCTTATTAAAAGTACAATATTTAAAGTGAAAACTGTGCATATTAGACAACTACAACACATTGCTGCCATATAACATAACCTTCAAAAACCAGGTTTTTGTTCAAAAATCCTTTTGTTTGGCAGCTACAGACATAAAAATCTATATCGTACATTAATATAAGGAATTTATTGTGATTAGTGAAAATAATTTGAATCGGACATATATGACACATTGCTACCATACAAATTTTTGTTCAAAAACACGGTTTTTGTTGCAAATCTTTCAAAATTGCAGCAACGGGCATGAAACATTGTAATAAGCATTGCTATTAGATGTATATTATTGACAGTGAAAATATTTAAAATTGAACTACTACAACAATGCACTGCCATATAACTTGTCCTTCGAAAATAAGATATTTAAAAATTTGGTATATTTTCGCATAAATATATTCCTACTCTTCAAGTATTCCAATTTACTATTTTTTTATTATAATTAATCCCCAAACTTTTCTTTTAAATTTCAAATGAACAGACGTTTCTCCAAACATTTTTATTTAAACACATTTCCAGTATTTATTTAATATGCTGTTCTTTGTTATTTGTAAAGCGTATTGAGTATGCTCCTTACTCACATGAGGATCAATTTAAAATAATAGCCACACATGTCAGCCAATATGGCAGCAGAGAAGAGTCAATTCAACCGTTATTTGATGGTTTACTCATATAACAGCTGAAAAAAATTACTATTTGCATTTCTGTTGTTGTTGTCGCAGACATTTATCAATTGCCCCAATGTTTACTTAATATTTTCGATTTCGATGGAGGAGATGAGCAAACAAACAGAAAATATTCAATATTTTTTTTTACTATATTCGCCGTTATATTTCTACCATTTTTATAACCAAAAATACATTAATAGTACATTTAATAGTTTCTAAAATATGTATTTTTATAAACTTTTATATATATAAATTCTTTACTTTTTCCTTTTATTCGTCTCGTGCTTGCCTTGAAGGTTAAGCGGTCAATGCATGACCAAAAAAAACTATAGAAAAACTTAAAATTGGTCAAAAAAAATCATAAATAAACACAAAATTATTTCATGTCTACAAACAATAGTAAATTAAAATATGTAGTTTGAAAATGTGAAGATACACAGCCATTTTATGCTAATTTTAGATTTAAAAATCCATTTATCCATTTATCTATTTATTTATATTATTTACTTTTTTCAAAATTTAAGTGTGAACCAATGCCTTGTTGTTGCTTATCATAAATTCTGTTTTTGCCATTTTTATTGAACGCTTGTTAGTTATTGCAATTGGTCCATTGACTATGTATGAGCTCATCGCCATGGTAGCGGTAATGATATGGATATCCGAGGGATTAAGGAGATTTGTTATAGTGTAGAGATGATAAAAAGATAATAAATTTAAATGAAAAGATTAATAAAAAAATATACAAAGAAATTAAATAAATTAAGTTAAAATAAAATATAAAAATAAAATAGAACAAAAAAATTAAAATAAAAAAATAAATGAATAATAAAAAACAAAAAAAAATGAAATAAAATAATATAAAATAAAATAAAATAAAATAAAATAAAATAATATAAAATAAAGTAAAATAAAATAAAATAAAATAAAATAAAATAAAATAAAATAAAATAAAATAAAATAAAATAAAATAAAATAAAATAAAATAAAATAAAATAAAATAAAATAAAACAAAATACAAAATTAAAATAAAATAAAAAAGTTTTAAATAAAATAAAACTAAAATTTCTCTCTATAAAAGAAATAAATATAATAAAATAGAGTAAAATAAATTATAAATTACTTTATAAAAAAAATTAAAATAAAATGAAATATAATAAAATAATATAATGTGAAATGGAATAAAATAGTTCAAAATGTAGAAAAAATAAAATTAAATAAAAATATAATAAAATGAAATATAATAAAAAAAATTAAATTAATCAAAATACAAAAAATTTAAATAAAATAAAATTGAGTAAAATAAAATAAAGCCAAATAAAATAAAATTATTCTATATTTAAAAAAAAGTAAAATAAAATGAGATAATATAAAATAAGTAAATGAAGTAAAAATTAGTTTTTATGCCATGTTATGTATAATCGTCATGGCTGCAAGCCTTGAAAAATTCTTCTGAAAGCCGTTTTTCTTTAGCTCTCAAGCTAATTAATAAGCACTTTGATGGTTAAGATGAATAGATTTCAAGCTATTGCTTGTTGACGTTTTTGTTGTTGTTAGTTTTCATTTTTTTTTTGTATTTTGTCTTTTTTGTTGTCACGCCTAATGTACATCTCACGCAAGCATCTCTAAAAAATGTATGTAAAGAAGAAGTGATGATCGCAGATGAAATAAACGAAAAGAGCGCTAATGCGTTGGAAGAGTGCAGAGATACTCAATCAATCCAACTAATTTTGGCAAACACATAATTTTATTATTGTTTTTGCAAATATCTTGAGATCACTTGAATTAACATAATGAACGATAGACAAGTGTTTTGACAGCAAAACATATAAAACAGCGCGTCAGCGAAGATTTTACAGACACAAGTCGAACTGTTTTCAATAGAACAACTTGCCAGAAACTATTTACAAGAATGGTAAATATCGAATCGAAGAAATTGTTAAAATAAATTGAATAATTGAAAAATAAAATAAAAATTATTTAAGAATTTTTTCGTTAATTTTTTAAAATTGTTTAATCAAAATTTACAATTTTTTTCTTCTTTCAGAAATTCTTCGCTGCTGCCACTTTCGCCGCCGTCTTGGCTTGCGCTTGCGCTGACGTCTCTCATTTGGGCTACAACTATCAGCAACCCGCAGCCAGCGTGCCTGCTCCAGTCTACTCTGCACCAGCGCCAGCACCAGTTTACCAACCCGCCCCTGCTGCCCCAGCACCAGTTTACCAACCAGCTCCATCAGCTCCTGTATCAGAATACCTCCCACCTGCAGCCAGTGCTCCAGCACCAGTCTACTCAGCACCAGCACCAGCTCCAGTTTACCAACCTGCTCCTGCTGCCCCAGCACCAGTCTACGCTCCAGCACCAGCACCGGTTTACTCAGCTCCAGCTCCTGCTCCAGTCTACCAACCCGCCCCATCAGCTCCTGTCTCTGAATACCTCCCACCCGCTGCTAGCGCTCCTGCTCCAGTATACTCTGCACCAGCGCCAGCTCCAGCTCCAGTTTACCAACCCGCTCCAGCTGCTGCCGCTCCTGAGCCAGTCTATTCCGCTCCAGCTCCAGCTCCAGTTTACTCTGCCCCAGCTCCTGCTCCAGTCTACCAGCCTGCTCCTGCTGCTTCTGAAGTCTACGAACAGCCCGCTCAAGATGGTTATAGATACCGCACTGTCCGTCGTCGTGTCTACAAACAACGTCGTTTCTAAGCAAAGTCTTCCAGATTAGTACCTCAGGAATTGTTCGAAATGTGTTAATTGTTCTTCGAAAATAAATTATATTTTTGTTAAAAAAAGTTTTCATTTTGATTTTGAATGGAGTAAGGCCATAAAGTGCATAAAAATTTCAAAGCTTTTCCCATTAAAGGACTGCGCTGCTTTGCTGGATCATATGTTATTCTAAGAATAGGCTACAGATGACAAAATCAGAGAAGAGAGAAGCTTGCTTTGCATGTGACTCTTGAGGCCTCGTAAGGTCGACCCTTAATTCACTGAGATTTCCGTTTGAAAACTTTGGCTCTAAATACAACTCATGAGTTCCATAGAAGGAGTGTTTGCGTCTTTGCAGAATATTTTAGTATTTGCTTTCAAATTAAACTTTGCCGAAAACGTATTAAAACGTACTAAGAGAGTCTTCAGAGTGAGATAAAATAGGGAAGAGTGTAAAAATGTCATTTCTTACTTCGTGTGAACTCTAAATACAGAATTATCTAACATAAACTGCACCAAAAAACCGTGCCCCCTCCATCAGTTCCGTATTGGACTCTACCGTTAAGGAAGTTACAGCAATCCTTTCAGTTATTGACACGAGACTGACTCGCCTGTGAGCAGAAATGGTGCAGAAATGCAACCGATGATGATTAGTAGGTCGCAGGTTTGCGTAAGCAATCTTCTAGTCTTCTGGAAAAAGATTTTGCTAACGATTTATGATCCTATGTGCGACTGCGAATAACATATCCAATGGAACAAGATATACGACGACATTGATAAACATATATATATAACATTATATAATTGGCGCTTTGTAAACACTTAAGCGAATTTCGGCCAAGCTCCTTCTACAATTTGTGGTTTGCGGCTTAATGTATAATATAATGAAGTAAACGGGATCCATGACAGTTAAGGGGAAGGAGACGCATACAATCTTGCTTTCTTGTACTTGTAATTTCATCAAGATGTTTGCCCTCGCTGTCCTTATATTATTCGATATGCTGACCTTAAGTTATTTAGGCCATACTCTTTGGCATACAAGACTAACAGAGGAACGTGTACATGTATAACATCCGTATCCTAAATGCTAAAGTCATTGTTGTCCACTAAGATAACTGAATTCGTGGTTCAAGAACTCGGAAACTAGTAAATAGCCCACGCGCTCTGATTCATTCATTCCACAAGAGCGGTTTTCGAAAAATTCTTAACTCTTTGCTAGTAACGACAGCTCGCCACCCACATGGTTCTGAAGATTATTGAACCAAAAAACCGATATTTGTTTTTAACGACTTTTTTCTTGTCTGATTTATTGAGGAAAAGAGTGAGTTTGAGTGAGTTTTATAGTTTTTCGAGTTGCATTCGCAGCTTCTTGTTCGATCTAATTAGCAAACAGGAGGATAGTTTAATGAAGTACCGGTTGCGTAGCGGAGATCTCAAGTTATGTATCGGCAACTTTATACAACTTAACGTTGTTATTATTGTTGGGCGTAACGGAAGCTCACTGCAAGCGAAGAAGATTCTTGCGCAGCAAAGTTCAAATCTTGCTTTGGAGGGTGAAACAGACGAAGATGAGAAGAACAATTTAAGCAAATCAAAAAGTTTGAGCAAACAAGCATTGTTTTTGTAATAATAGTTTATATGCAATAATTAACATAATCAGCCAGAGCAGTGTTCGATGCGGAAAAACATATAAAACAGCGCGACAACAGAGCCTAAGCAGACACAAGTCGAACAGTTTTCAATAGAGAAACACGCAAAAAATCATCAGAAAAATGGTAAATATTTTGTGGTGAAGGAGTGAAAGTGTTAAGAAATACTAATTTTGTATCGAAAAATTGAGAATTTCAATTCCAATTTCCAATAGAATTTTGAAAAAAATTACAGTCTTTTTCGTATGAAATATTTCCGAGTTTTGAGCACAAAAATTTAGACGAATTTAAATTAATTTAAAGTTTATTTCATAAAAAGTTAAAACGAATTTAAAAATGAAATAAAAATAATTAATTTTAAATAAAGCTACAATGGAAAATCCTTTTGAAAATCTAAGTTTTTCTTCAATTGTTTGCCTCAAAAATTGCTTAATTATTGCCTTCCATCATTGAAAACTCCTTTTGGTAACTTTTCAGAAATTCTTCGCCGCTGCCACCTTCGCCGCCGTATTGGCCTGCGCCTTCGCTGATGTCTCCCACTTGGGTTACGGTTACCAGCAACCCGCTGCTAGCGCACCATCTAGCGAATACCTTCCACCTGCTGCCAGCGCACCAGCTCCAGTCTACTCCGCACCAGCACCATCCTACTCTGCACCAGCTCCAGTTTACCAACCAGCTGCCGCTGCTCCAGCTCCTGTTTACGCTCCAGCACCAGCACCTGCACCAGTCTACCAACCCGCTCCATCTGCTCCAGTCTCGGAGTACCTTCCACCCGCAGCTAGCGCTCCAGCACCAGTGTACTCTGCACCAGCACCTGCTCCAGCTTACTCTGCCCCAGCTCCAGTTTACCAACCAGCTGCTGCTGCACCTGAGCCCGTCTATGCTGCTCCAGCTCCAGCTCCAGTTTACTCAGCTCCAGCACCAGCTCCAGTTTACCAAGGCGCTGCCTCTGAGACTTATGAACAACCCGCTCAAGATGGTTACAGATACCGCACTGTGCGTCGTCGTGTCTACAAACAACGTCGTTTCTAAGCTAAGTTTTGCAACTGAAAATTTTTCGTTACGAATTGATTTTTGTAATTCGTTCGAAATGTGTTAATTGTCTCGAAAAAAATAAATTATATTTTTATTTAAAAATTTTTCGTTTTGATTTCTAATGAAGGAGAGTATAAAAGTTTGTGGATGAGTTTCCTCCAAACCTGGATGTCGTTACCTTGATTGTTCACTATTTTATTTATTGAGACGAGTTCTGTTGTGATTAGTCTACACATGGCAAGAACAGACAGAGAGGGGTAGCATATAGTGGTTGCTACGCTTAAAAGATTGGAAGGACTAAGCTCAATTATTTCTCTATGCTAAGAAGGATTTCAGTTGACAATGGAGTAGGTTTCTACTAAGGGAAATAAGGAGCCACCTTAAAATGATTTTATGATTTCATATAAGATCTGAGGCGGCCGCGGTAACCGAGTGGTTAGCGTACTAGCATTCGGAAGGCTCGGGTTTATGTCCCGGTGTCACCAACATCCAAAAGCTATTGAAAATTATTTTAAATAAAAAAATAAGTTCAATTTTCTAATGGCGGTCGAGGCCGCTTAGTACAAACTGTAGGTTCCCCTCTTTGTTGGGAAAATATCAAGATGCAAAACCACAAATTGGAGGAGTACAGTTATCAATCTTGAAATAGGCATGGCATTAAATATTGGTGTGTCGGAAAATGCTACAGATATTTCTATGCATTCCGCTTGCCTGTCCTTTGTTCTTTCCATAAATAAACGCCTCTATAATCTTAAGTCCCCTCAGAACGGCTAATAAACCTTTATAAGGAGCTTTTTATTTCATATCCTAGCAGTTGGATGATTTTATATTTCATGTCTAAGGCTGATCGATTTTTTATAAAGATACCTATTCGGCTAAAATAGTCCGATGATCTTAAGATAAGAATATAAAACCTTCACTAAACGTCTCAATTAGTCCTAAGCCGCCTCAGACTGTTTGATGACCTATTTTTTCGAGACCGGTTTTCTATAATTCGGCATATTGATCTAGACGAGATTTGGGAGGACGGCCCGCTGTGAATAAGCTCAGACCGCTATCTGCTTGGCTACAATATCGGTCTGATGTTGTTACTTACTTACTTTACTGGCGTAGACACCGCTTACGCGATTATAGCCGAGTTAACAACATTGCGCCATTCGTTTCTTTTCTTTGCTGTTGTTGATCTTTCCAACGCAGTGCAGGCCTTCCTCTTCCTCTGCTTCCACCTTGCGAGTACTGAATCGAAAACTTTCAAAACTTGAGTATTCGTGTCCATACGGACCAGATGGCCCAGTCAGCATAGCTGCTGCTTCTTGATTTGCCGAACTATGTCAATGTCGCCGTATCACTCGTACAGCTCATCGTTCTTTCGTCTGCGGTATTCACCGTTGCCAATGCGCAACGGACCATAAATCGGTTGAAAAACTTTTCTCTCAAAGACTCCTAAAGCCGACTCATCAGCTGTTGACATCGTCTACACCTCTGCGCCATATAGTAGGACGGGTATGATGAGCGACTTGTAGAGTTTAATTTCCGTTAGTCGGGAGAGAACTTTACTTTTCAATTGCCTACTCAGTAAAAAGTAGCAACTGTTGGCAAGAGTGATTATGCGCCGGACTATTATTGGTGTTGATGCTGGTTTCTAGATGGACGAAATTATCTAGTACGTTTTTTATTCAGTCTGTAGAAAGCAGAACTCAGGGCGCGGTTAATGTTAATATCAGCGACGTAGGCCAGCAGCTGTACACTCTGATGTTGTTGAGAGAAGAATATAAAATCGTCATTAAATTCTGCCTCAAAGAAAACCAACCAAACCATCTTACAACAGCCCTCCGCCGTGCTTCCCAGCATCGCTGGAGATGGAATGTTTTCGAATAGTAATTTCAAGCCCTCTATACACAATAGTAGTTCCTTTCGTCTTTAAACTGTTGATCTAAAACTGGCCCTCTCTGATGGATCTTTACTTGTTATATTCTTTCCTTGGTTCCTTTTGCCACCCAATGAGTACAAAGTAATTTTCAAGTCCTTCAAACTTTAATATCAGTGGTTGGGTTAATTAAATTGGAATTTCGGCTGCTGTTCGACATCAATCTCTGCACATCTAGTAGTTTGATGTTAGGGCTGATTAATATTTTGTTACTTTTTTTACTTCGCTTTGTTTGTTCGACAATATTTGTTGGTGCTTTAGATCGGTCTGCCGAAACAGCGCCTTTGCTATCAGTACCTCAAGCAATTCGTAGCTTCTATTTGTAAAAAGTTATTTAAGACTTGTCTGAATCTTTCTGTCATATAGTGATTGTTGTGTAATTTACGGCCCGTGGCCAAGATCAGCTCATCAACGCCTGTAATCAGCAATTCATTCCGGCCTTCTGGGAATTTAGGGCTAGATTGTGCATGTGAATATGATTTAATTTTCAGAGTCGCTCTAATCGTCCAAGAAATGTATTGATTTACCGCAGAGCCTGGCTCAAGAACCCGGAAACAAAAAAAAAAAATGGTCCATCCATTTTGATTGAGACACTAAACATCTTTCTTTATTTATTTTGGTATATAAAAAATGTGCATTTGTAGCTCGACACCCACATGGCTCTGAAGATTATTGAACCAAAAAACCTATATTTGTTTTTAACGACTTTTTTCTTGTCTGATTTATTGAGGAAAAGAGTGAAATTGAGTGAATTTTATAGTTTTTCAAGTTGCATTCGCAGCTTCTTGTTTGATCTAATTAGCAAACAGGAGGATAGTTTAATGAAGTACCGGTTGCGTAGCGGAGATCTCAAGTTATGTATCGGCAACTTTATACAACTTAACGTTGTTATTATTGTTGGGCGTAACGGAAGCTCACTGCAAGGGAAGAAGATTCTTGCGCAGCAAAGTTCAAGTCTTGCTTTGGAGGGTGAAACAGACGAAGATGAGAAGAACAATTTAAGCAAATCAAAAAGTTTGAGCAAACAAGCATTGTTTTTGTAATAATAGTTTATATGCAATAATTAACATAATGAGTCAGAGCAGTGTTCGATGCGGACAAACATATAAAACAGCGCGACAACAGAGCCTAAGCAGACACAAGTCGAACAGTTTTCAATAGAGAAACACGCAAAAAATCATCAGAAAAATGGTAAATATTTTGTGGTGAAGGAGTGAAAGTGTTAAGAAATACTAATTTTGTATCGAAAAAAAAAAAAAAAAATTTCCAATAGAATTTCGAAAAAAATTACAGTCTTTTTTCGAATTAAATTTTTCTGAGTTTCGAGCACAAAAATTTAAACGAATTTAACATAAATTTAGAATTTATTTCATAAAAAGTTAAAACTAAAATTTAAAAATGAAATAAAAATAATTAATTTTAAATAAAGCTACAATGGAAAATCCTTTTGAAAATCTAAGTTTTTCTTCAATTGTTTGCCTCAAAAATTGCTTAATTATTGCCTTCCATCATTGAAAACTCCTTTTGGTAACTTTTCAGAAATTCTTCGCCGCTGCCACCTTCGCCGCCGTATTGGCCTGCGCCTTCGCTGATGTCTCCCACTTGGGTTACGGTTACCAGCAACCCGCTGCTAGCGCACCATCTAGCGAATACCTTCCACCTGCTGCCAGCGCACCAGCTCCAGTCTACTCCGCACCAGCACCATCCTACTCTGCACCAGCTCCAGTTTACCAACCAGCTGCCGCTGCTCCAGCTCCTGTTTACGCTCCAGCACCAGCACCTGCACCAGTCTACCAACCCGCTCCATCTGCTCCAGTCTCGGAGTACCTTCCACCCGCAGCTAGCGCTCCAGCACCAGTGTACTCTGCACCAGCACCTGCTCCAGCTTACTCTGCCCCAGCTCCAGTTTACCAACCAGCTGCTGCCGCACCTGAGCCCGTCTATGCTGCTCCAGCTCCAGCTCCAGTTTACTCAGCTCCAGCACCAGCTCCAGTTTACCAAGGCGCTGCTTCTGAGACTTATGAACAACCCGCTCAAGATGGTTACAGATACCGCACTGTGCGTCGTCGTGTCTACAAACAACGTCGTTTCTAAGCTACTCCAGCAATTGAGGCTCTGGTTATGAATTGATTTTTGCAATTCGTTAGAATTTGATTGGAAACTATTTTTGTGAGAATAAAATATATTAAAAAAAAGGAAAGTTTTTATTTTATTCCACTAACAACTAACTTTTCCCTTTTCAATTGGGTTGTTCTCGCTAAGATTGAGGACTGCTTTAGAACTCAGCCTCAGCAGGGAATACTATTTCTAAAAGTTTTGTAAAAGTATGTACTTTAATACCGGAGCTGTGCTACTTTAGACTTTCGACTTGACTTAGCGCAGTACTTGAAAGTCCTGCGAAGTATCTAGCGTGCTTGAACAGTTATAAACAACACCCATAAGCATTAAGGATACAGTAAGAGCTTCAGATTTCGATGTACAGTTTCCAGATCTCTTCACTTTTTGTAGTTGGGCAGCCTGTGCGGCGATAAAACTGCTTTCTCTCTAACTAATCTGGAATGTCTTGAGCCTGATAATGTTTGGAATCAACTTTCCTCTTCCACAGAGGTGTATAAGTGGGCTCTGAAGCTTCTATAATTTAGGTCAAAATTAAAAAAAATATTCGTGGGTAAAAGTTCACTTAAGTGACGAGGTTTTTAACTGTAATTTGCCTCGGAGTGGTCACAAATTATTTCTCTTACATATCGTTCGAGAAGTTCACGACTTTCGGTCCCCTGCTTAGACAAAATACATCCACATGGAGGCGAATTAAAGTGTTAAGGTGTACCACTTCCGGAATGTCTATTGTGTCTATCGCTTGCATTTGGAATGTTCGAGTTGACTGATGTCCTTGTTAAAAGCCTGGCGGACCGAACTGCTAGCCAAAAAGTGCGATGAACAGGACAAGTACGAAAGAAACTGGGTCTCTGTGAAACCTACCACAGCGAACATGTAAAGAGAGGCAAATATTGTGTTGAATTTGTAATGGAGGAGAGACATCGGTTGGGTGGGAGCTATGTATATGATATAGTCGATTTATCTGGCCAGTTTCAACAAATAATGATTACAGACATATAACAGTACCGACGCGCATTAATTTTCGTTCAAATATCCCAAAAAGTGTGCGACTGGCTTGTGTTAAAACAGTTGTTTGGAAAAACAGATAGACAGACAGACAGATGTACAGAAGGAGAGACGTTCATGGCTAAAACAACTCAGCTCTTCCTTCTAAACTCATCGCTATACGTTTTTTTTTTCTCGTACTTATACACAAAAAAGAGAGGTTTAAATGCATGCGTACGAGAAACTCGAAGAGATAACAAGCAGGGGTACAGGGCTAATGCTAGAAAACTCTCACAGGAAAGGTTTCAAGTACGAAGTTTGCTTGTGTGGAATGCTAAGCGGTGAACTGTAGCGCAATATTAAGATCATACCCATGGAAGGGAAGCATTTGTTGCTGTAGAGCTTCACTCAAGAAGTCTTTTAATTTTAACCAGTTTCACTTTACTTGTGAAAAATATTCTAAGCTCGTCGCCTGACCGTCTGTTATGGCAATTACTTGAAGATACAAAAAGAATGAGAAAAGCAGGAAGATAACGCATGGATCATAAATTTAAATTGTTATTTGGCAATCCCAAATTAACTGAATGACAATCTAAGACCGGTAATTATTTATTAAAAGCATTTGACTTGTTGTCTCCGTCAAAATACTTGTTCTTCAAATATTATTCCTGTTTGCTTTCACGATTTCATTTGCTAATTTACTAAAAAACAATTTTTTTTCTTCTGTATTATAAAATACAATTCTGGGCGTCTGTCTTTTAGCTAATCAAATATACGGTCTAGTAAAAAGTAATCCATTAATCAAATATGAAGTATTTTGCACTGCAACTATGTCTCTTTCATAGAAACCCTGTTGCTGTTGTGTTATAACCCCAATATACCCCAAAGTACTTTTCGGGGAATGTTGCGCGAGTGACAGTCCTTGGCCGAAAAGAAATCCGGTTCGTTCTGGTATAAAGACCCGTCTGTCGCGAGAACTATTTTATTTTAGTCGCCTCTTGCGACAGGCATGCCTTACCGCTGGTAAGCTCTTGAACACCTAAAACGAGGGGCGCAAAATTGAGACAACCGATTTTTACAGGCTTCTTTTGAGTTCAATTCTTCACCAGCCAACTCAAGCGCCATAGATAAGCAAAGATGGCAGTTATATGGTGCGAAGTCCGTACTATAAGGTGGATGCATAAGAACCCATTAATCCAGCTCTCTGAGTTTCTGGTGAGTCACTAACGATGAGTGTGATCTGACGTTGCCCTGATTAAACACAACTCGCCCTCCTGTTGGCCAAAGTTGGGCGCTTTTGGGCGATTGCATCCTTCAGACGATCCAATTGCTAGCAGTACAGATTTGAGTGTAGAATTTGACTCATAGCTCATAGCTCATAGTGGATGATTACTTGCCAATACCACCAAACATATAATAAAACCTGGCAGGCAGTCAATCTTGGCGTAGAGACCGTTTGTCACTGCTCTTCGACCACCACCGTTTACATTTGACGTTGCTGTAATTAATCCACCTTCCATCACAAGTCACCATCTATTTCAAAAATGGTTCGATTCAACAACGATTTGCAATTGGAAGTTCGGTTCATGGGGTTTTTTCTCGTTAAGTCATGTGGCACCCATACATCGAGCTTCTTTGTGTATCCAGTCGTGGAACCGTTTGACCAAACTGTTTTAAGAGCAATATTTAGCTCCTGGATAATCGAAATAGTACTCGCTTAATGGCTAGGCTCGAAGATTTCTGGTATTTTAACAACATTTTCGTCGATTGGCCTTCCACGCCGTTCACAATTATCGAAGCGAAAGGGACGCAACCAAAATTTGACCAAATGAGCTTACAGATCGCGGGATACAGATCAATTGGTAAGCAATTTTAATCTCTCTCATCTGATATGATGGGCGTTCGGAAATGGCTTAGAACAAAATGTAGGTCCGCCCATTTGTTGCAAGAACATCAAGGGTTTGCCACTCAAATTAGAAGACAAGTTCTGGTTTTCCGGCTTAACGGTATATATATATATATGTTAAATCCCTCATGGGTAATTGACGAGATGATTACTTTAATTAAATTTAAAAAAAATCCTTGGACCTTCATCTCTATTTCTCTACTATTTTAAGTACATATGAAAAAGTATTAATAATTTTTTTGTCCAATAAAATTAGGTAAATATTTATTTTACTTTTTTAAATAAGAAAAAAAAGTGTGTGTGAATTTTAAATTACGCAAAGTTGCTCTGGTTTCTACTTTCAGTTAACTAATTACTAATCGGGAAGCTAGTTTAGTGCTGAACCTGTTGCGCAGAATCTATTTCAAAATGCCGGCGACAGCTGCTGCTGCTTCGCATTGTTGTTGTTATTATGCAAAGCATAATTTGACTGCAATCAAACGAGAATTTAAGATTCTTGCAAAACCGATTTCAGTGCCGGCGTTAAATGCAAGCAAGTGTTAGTGTGAAAGAAGAGTGAAAAAAAGACTACTTAATCTTATCGGAAGACAATTAATTTGCTTCTTGTTGTTTTTACAATTATGTATAGAATGCAATAATTAAAATGATGAGCTAAGCCAGTATTTTGAGCGGAAGAAACATATAAAAAGTCCCAGTCAACAGCGTTAGGACAGACACAAGTCGAACAGTTTTCAATAGAAACACACTGCAAAAATGGTAATAAAGCGTGGAAGAACTAAATACTGGCATATAAAGGATTAAGAAATTTTTGAAATTGTTAAAAAAATCTATTCTAAATAATAAAAGTGTTTTAGTGCTTTAACAAAACTAAACTCTCTACCTTTGCTTCTTTCGCAGAAATTCTTCGCCGTTGCCACTTTCGCCGCCTTCTTGGCCTGCGCTTGCGCTGATGTTTCCCACTTGGGTTACGGTTACCAGCAACCCGCTGCTAGCGCACCATCCAGCGAATATCTCCCACCCGCTGCCAGCGCTCCAGGTCCAGTCTACTCGGCACCAGCACCATCTTACTCTGCACCAGCTCCAGTTTACCAACCAGCTGCTGCAGCCCCAGCACCAGTTTACGCTCCAGCACCTGTTTACCAACCAGCTGCATCTGCTCCATCCTCTGATTACCTACCACCCGCAGCCAGCGCTCCAGGTCCAGTCTACTCTGCACCAGCACCATCCTACTCTGCACCAGCACCAGTTTACCAACCAGCTGCTGCCGCTCCTGAGCCCGTCTACGCTGCTCCAGCTCCAGTTTACCAAGGTGCTGCCTCTGAGACTTATGAACAACCTGCTCAAGATGGTTACAGATACCGCACTGTGCGTCGTCGCGTCTACAAACACCGTCGTTTCTAAACTGCGTTTTCTGTAAATTGAAAACTTTGACATGAAATGAAAAGAACAACGACGAGGCTTTCGAGGCGAATTCGTTTTCGTAATTCGTTTGAATTGTGTTAACTGTTTTTTTTTGAAAAATAAATAATATTGAAAAAAAAAAATCTGTTTTGCTTTCATTTGGTATAAGAAAAGTCGGGGATTATTACTGCAGATTGGGATCGATATTCTTGGCTGCCTTATGTAGCAGCTGATCCTCTTCATAAGTCGTTGGCGCCTTACTATAAATAATAATATAATATTTGGTATATGAAGCTGACGCTCTGAGACAGAGCTGCCTTACTATGCCGCTAAGAGATTCTAACGAAGCTTATAGGAAACTATTTAAATAGAGAAGAGCTTCTTTAGGCGCCGAAAAGGCACTGAAATCGGCTGCAAGAAGTGCAGAGATGGAAAGTCAACGAGAGATAGTTCTTTTGCTGGAATCTCTACCTGCGGAAAGCCTTTGATGTTTCTTATGCCGAAATCTGAACTAGAATAGTCTCAAGCACATTTCTGTGGAAACAGAATATTTAAACAGTAAGATTTTGGCTGTCCATAATATATTATATACAATAATTAGGCTCCTATGCATCAGAGTTTATCAAGAATGTCTTTAAGACTAAAACAAATATATTTTTATCAGCTCAGTTTCAGAGCTTCAAGTATAATTTGCATTATTTTATATGTAAAAAACTTTTACGTCATTAAATTGTATAATTTTTGCACCATTTGCCATCACGCCTACACAAAGTCAGCAAAAAGAAACGGAGAAATGCCGGAAGACAACGCATGCAATAAAAAATTAAAAGCATTTTAATTCGATAGTAAATGAAATCTATTTAGCAGAAACGCCCAAAAACCCGTTTTAAAAAATTATTCCTGCACGTGTTTTTCAATTTATTTAAAAAAAAAAAGTTTTTTAAAAAATTTAATAAACTAAAATAAAATAAAAAAAAAGAAAAGAAAATAAAATAAAATAAAGTAAAATAAAATAAAATAAAATAAAATAAAATAAAATAAAATAAAATAAAATAAAATAAAATAAAATAAAATAAAATAAAATAAAATTAAATAAAATAAAATTAAATTAAATAAGCTAAAATAAAATAAAATAAATTACAACAAAACGAAGTTAATTAAAAGATTGGAATGGAATATAATTAAACTGATTGAACAACATTAAAACTTTCCCACAATTTTATATTTATTTTTAGCGATTTGACGTATAAAAATCTCAAATTGATCGCATCAATTTACTCTAGTTTTCAATGTGTGTGAAATTATAACAAAAGAACAACAAATTTGACTTTTGAACAACTTTACTAAAATTTACATTTCAATCACATTGTTTTTATATTTGTTAGGGCTTACCGTACATGATTACCGTATTTGATTTTGGATATTTCTTCTTTTACCTTTTTTAAGGCGTGGAAAAAGTGTGTGCGAATTTTGCTGTTTTTCCAGTTGCGCTAGTTTCTGGATCTCTTTACAAACAGAGATTTCGGTTTATTGCTCAACCTGTTAAGGTAAATATATTTAAAGGTGCCGGCTACCATTGCTGTTGTTGTTGTTACGCACTAAACGGCGTTCGATGGGTATGCGAAAAAACGTATGAAAGAAAGAGGTGAGGTGAGGAAGTAGAAAAAAGCTCTCTACTAAACTATTAAAACTATATTTGGTAAAAATCAAAATATTTCTTGTTTTCTTAGGCGAAGATTCTTAGCTTGCAAAAATTATCATAATTAGCCGGAGAAGTATTTCAACAAGAATTGGTATAAATACCCTCAACAATCAGCGTTTAGACAGACACAAGTCGAACAGTTTTCGATTGAACAACTCGCTCAATTAGCTGGCTTGAAAAAGTTGGCGCTTGTAATATACAATTTTCTGAGTTCACTTTTTTCACAAATAAAAAAAAAAAAAAAAAAAAAAGATATGAAAACTTGTAACCGTTAAAAAATTACAAATACTTTGACATGGAAATTTTTAATAATTAAATTATTAACTAATATAATATATATAAATATTTAATTTTTCTTAACAATCATTTATTACTCTCTTTTCCTTCCAGAAATTCTTCGCTGCTGCTGCTTTCGCTGCCTTTTTGGCCTGCGCTTCCGCTGATGTCTCCCACTTGGGATACGGTTACCAGCAACCCGCTGCTAGCGCACCATCCAGCGAATATCTCCCACCCGCTGGCAGCGCACCAGCTCCAGTATACTCTGCCCCAGCACCATCCTACTCGGCACCAGCTCCAGCACCAGTTTACCAACCCGCTCCATCCGCTCCCGTCTCTGAGTACCTGCCCCCTGCTGCTAGCGCTCCAGCTCCAGTTTACTCTGCCCCAGCTCCAGTCTACCAACCAGCTCCAGCTGCTGCAGCCCCAGCTCCTGTCTATGCTCCAGCACCAGCACCAGCACCAGCTCCAGTTTACCAACCAGCTCCATCAGCTCCCGTCTCCGAGTACCTTCCCCCTGCTGCCAGCGCTCCAGCTCCAGTCTACTCTGCACCTGCTCCAGCTCCAGTTTACTCTGCCCCAGCCCCAGCTCCAGTTTACCAGCCAGCTCCAGCTGCTTCTGAAGTCTATGAACAACCCGCTCAAGATGGTTACAGATACCGTACTGTCCGTCGTCGTGTCTACAAGCACCGTCGTTTCTAAACTCACTCTTTAAGCCACCTTAAATGAAATGAGTTGAACAACTAAGAGGCTATGGGAACGAATTCATTTTTAATTCGCTCCAATTGTGTTGTTGACTATTTTTTTTTCGAAAATAAAAATAAAATAAAATAAAATAAAAAAAAATTTATAGTTCTTATTTCGAGACATGTGTAATCCAAATATAATATGTACGGATATGAGTTAAGCCCTTTCTAAAATAGCTGTAAAAGCTGCAATAATTCTGTAAAGAGAGAAAATTGAAATGGACAGAGGAATCTGCGATTCCAGTGCGATTAGTGAAGTTCTTGTAGACATACATACGTAAATGTGGCTGAAACAGCACATGACTTCCGGTCTTAGACCAAGTATGTGTGACTGTATGTAGGGTTCGGTATTTGCTAGACAAAAAACCTATGAAAACCATGAAAAAGTTCGACAAAAGTCATCGGAAGAGAAATTTCCCTTTTGATGAAAACCTCAAAAAACGTTTAGGAATCAATATTTGAGTGCCTGTTTGGTAGGTGCGATCACTTAATTGGTAAGAAGGGAAAAAAGGCTGACAGCAGCACGGCTGAAGGCACACTTTCTCTCTATGGATGGCTAAACTCATATTGGGGCAATTATTTGATGTTCTTCTTCCAAGTGAAGGGACCTCAGGGACCTAGAGTTTATTTAATCAAGTAAGATCCGAATGATTCCATTCCATATGGATCTAATAATCGGCATATCTGCTTTGATTGAAGATTTTATGCAGACGCTTTCAGATAATATACATTGGAACTAGAATGCCGGGAAAATTACCTTGTCTAGTGTTACACTGAAGTTTCTCGCTGCATGGTCGTAAAAGCTCTTAAGATTGTCTCGAAAGCTTGTAGGGATGACTCTCTTTTTTCAATTTAAGTAGCTACCTACAAGTTTATTCTAAGTAGTGTCATTAGTGTGCCGACGAGCGCAAGGGTCAATTTCTGGAGCAGTTCTTGAAAAGCAAGCTTTAAAAGCTCAACCAGAAGCTTTTGCTAAGAAGGCTGAGAGCTTTTTTTAATTTTCGAAAATAGGTCAGGCTTGAGGAGTGAAAGAGATTTGACAAGGTTTCCTCTTCGCGTTCTTCTTCTTTTATTCTATTGCTTCTTTTTAACAAAACTCATGGCGGTTAATAGAGAAAGCTTACTTTTAACACTTGGAAGCTATTCGTATTAATTTAGCATTAATTAAATTATAGGAAGTCACAATCCTAATTCACAAAAAAAGTTAAAACGACTTTAAAATTAAAATGAAAATGTTCAAAATAAAAAACAAAAACAATAAAGGTGCATTAAAATCGCTCAGGTCAGTTAACTCAAGCGCTCAGCACTTGGAAGCATAACATTTGTATCTGTCTACCATTATTTTTATACTTAACTTCATATTTGCATACATACATACATACGAGTATATAACTATTAAACACATTTTCATTTCATTTGCTTAAGAGATCACCTCAAATTAAGTGTCTTTCAGCTTAACTAAGTGCCTTGAGGTGTCTACGCTTATCTTAATTAGAAAAATTTTGAGTCTTCAAACAATAAGTTGTGTTTGAAAAAGTTTTATTTTTATTTTTATTTTTATTTTTTTGTTTTCTTTTGACATCTTTTTCTGCAGAATTTATACACTTTGTATGCGTTGAAGACGGCTTTGGTTGCAAAAAAAAAAAACAAAAAAAAAGAAAAAAATATAAAAATTAAAGCTTTTGGCTTGCAAAAAAAAAAATAATAATAATAAAAATAATCAAAATAATAATAAACTATAAACAATAAATAATAAAGCAAAGTTGTGGAATAACAAATCATATATAAACTACAAGAAGCTAGTGACCAAACATACACTACACGAATAGTTTTCAACCCAAGAGCAACATTTTTGTAAATAAACTCAACAAAAATGGTAAATATTTGCCCTTCATTGGCTTAAGGATAAAAAAAATTTGCAAAAATTCACTAAACTTTTATCTCTTCCACTAGAAATTCATCGGAGTTGCCACTTTTGCTGCCATCTTGGCTAGCGCTTGCGCTGATGTCTCTCACTTGGGTTATAATTATCCACAACCTGCCGCTAGTGCACCTGCCAATACGTATATACCACCAGCTGCTAATGAGCCTGAGCCCGCATATGCGCCAGCACCAGCACCAGCTGCTCCAGTCGCAGTCTATCAACCAGCACCTGCTTCGTCGTACATTCCTCCTGCTCCAGCTGCCGCTGCACCTGAGCCGGTCTACCAGCCTGCTCCAGCACCAGCTGCACCTCAACCGGTCTACCAACCAGCACCTGCGCCATCAGCACCTGATTCTTCCTACATTCCTCCTGCACCAGCGGCCGCTGCACCTGAGCCGGTCTACCAGCCTGCTCCAGCACCAGCTCCAGTTTATCAACCAGCTCCCGCTCCATCTGCTCCGGCTTCTTTATACATACCTCCTGCACCACAGCCAGCTGCATCTGAGGTCTACGAGCAACCCGCTCAGGATGGTTACAGATACCGCACCGTTCGTCGCCGTGTCTACAGACAACGTCGTGTCTAAATTTTTGAAAGCCTGAATTGAGAAGACTCTGACGACGATTAATGCTATATCTATTGTTATCTTATTTTCCTTTATGATTAGTTAAAAATAAATCAATTGTAAAATTAAATTTTTGTTTAGTCTTTCTTGACCACACCATTGTCATGCTGCAGTCTTAGATTTGATTTTAGTACTAAGCCTGATGGAACTTCTCAAAACCATTGAGAAAGGGAGATGTTCTAATATCACCGTCTCGCCTGCCTGCCTTCCCACATTTCCTTGGCGTAATGTGACGTCAGTGTGTTATGACCTGATATTACAATTAATTAGTATAAGTCAACATCAAAACCTAGCTTCTTGGGAGCGGGTTAGGGCTGTAGATCCTTTCACATTTAGAAAAAAGCAAATCGGCCGGTTAAGGCTTTATTGGTCTTAGCTTAGTTTCGTTGAACTCTTACGGAAATCTTAGTGGTAATAATTCGTCTAGCCTTAATCCAGTATAGTAAGAGTTTGGTCGGGACTTATGTAAATTAAATTCAGTCTATTTTAGCTTTCGTTTGGCTTTAATCTAGTTTTACTCTCCCCACACTGGCAAGAACATACATATCTCCTTAGAGTCATTAATTTTAAATTTAATATTAATTGTAATTATATTTATAACTATTATAGTAATATTAATTTTAATTTTAATTTTAATTTTAATTTTAATTATAATTTTAATTTTAATTTTAATTTTAATTTTAATTTTAATTTTAATTTTAATTTTAATTTTAATTTTAATTTTAATTTTAATTTTAATTTTAATTTTAATTTTAAGTTTAAGTTTAATTTTAATTTTAATTTTAATTTTAATTTTAAAATTAATTTTAATTTTAATTTTAATTTAAATTTAAATTTAAATCTAAATTTAAATTTAAATTTTAATTTTAATTTAAATTTAAATCTAAATTTAAATTTAAATTTAAATTTAAATTTTAATTAATTATTAATAATTTTTTAAATTTTTATATTTATTAGCATTCCAATGTATGCTTTTTTAATTTTTTTTTTATTTTTTCTCTAAATTTTTTTTTGTATTTTTCATTAAAAAATTTGAAGCTCTTCATTTAATTTTTTTTCACCGTAATTAAATCATTTTTTCATTGTCTTATATATTTCTAATTTCTACATTTCCTCGATTAACTTGTTTTGCCCTCGAATAAACAACTTTTACTTTTCAACAAGTGCATTGAACTGCTTCTTCTAGCTCTTCTTCTCAGACGTTCTTTTGTTTAATTAGCACTTGAGAAAATAAGTGAATGTGCACTTTAATTAATAGCAATTTTTTTCAAAAGGAACCTCTACTGGTTTTATGGCCCATTCTTCGAAAGTTAGATAACTTTTTAAAAATTCTAATTGTTTTTATTTCGAAGCCGAAATCATATAAAAGGCATTGAATTGTGACAACTCCACACTCACAAGTCGTACGGACTGCAGTAGAAACGCAAGTAACTCATTGAAAATGGTAAGTGCTTTTTTAAAGAAATAATTTACATTTTTTATAAAAAAGGATACACAGCAAAAGGATTAACACGAAGGATAACACTAAATACCGCAACAAAAGCTGTTTCTGCAAAAAAAATTCCTGAAACCACAGAAAGTAGTTTCGAAATTAACGAAAATCTGTTTTCTTTCTTCCTCAGAAACTCTTCACCACCGCCGCCGCCTTCATTGCCATCTTGGCTTTCGCTTGCGCTGATGTCTCACATCTAGGCTATGGCTACGATCAACCTGCCGCTAGCTCTGTATCCAACCAATACATACCACCCGCAGCCAACGCACCCGAACCTGCTTATGCACCAGCGCCAGTTTATCAATCGGCTCCAGCTCCATCGTACCAGCCCGCTGCATCTGCTCCAGTCTCATCGTACATTCCACCAGCCGCCACAGCTCCTGAAGTAGCCTATGCTCCAGCTCCGGGTCCAGTTTATCAAGGTGCTGCCTCTGAAACCTATGAGCAACCCGCTCAAGACGGTTACCGTTACCGCACTGTACGTCGTCGTGTCTACAAACACCGTCGTTTCTAAGCTGTGAATTGATTGCTGAAATAAAATTTTTGATGAATTGATGAAAGAAAAGTATTTTTTGAAATGTGTTGTTGCTGTATACGCAAAAAATAACGGTGAAAGTGGTTAGTTCTCGATAGGGAAAAAATCCGGTTCCTTTCGGCATAAATACCGTACTAACAGACATCGCATCTTCGGACAGGTATATCTAATCGCAGGTAAAACCATTACTAGAGGGGTGTAAAGCGATGCTCATCAATTTGAGAGCCGAAATGTAATATTTTCATTTCCTCGCCATAAGAGTGGAGCTTCTTCAAATATAAATCTCGGCATGAAGTTAAATGTCCACCTGAGCACTCGCAATTCGTACCTCTTGAAAAAATTCGAGTAAAATTTACAAAATGTGTGTCAAGCAACTAGGTTCAGGCATTGGATATGTATAAGGAAGCTTTTCTATAGCCCTGAAAGGAATACATCACTACTGGTTATATTTTTTGTACGTCAAGTGAGTGGAAGCGCCTCCAAAAGCCGCACTGAAGTGTCCTTCTAAATGACTAGAGTTCCTTTAAAAATATTTCAAACTTGAAAGAGTATTCCTATACAGACTAGAAAGAAAATGCTTCCACTTACTCTCAGTTAGTCTCTACGAGTTGGTCTATCCACCAGAAGTACAACAAACATAACATGGTGTTTACGTTTGACGTATGAAATACTCGGCAACGTCGTACGTCGTAAAAGAACTCTGGAGCTTCTTATAAAAAAGAACTGCATCAAGAAACTAGAAAATTTCCAATACTATGATTTTCTTGGACCCGTTGTACGAGAGTTTAAGAGCTTTCACAAAAAGAGAGAGAGAGAGAGAGAGAGGAAAAAAGTCTGGCGTGATCTCAACCATTAGAATTTTTAGTTTTTTCTACGATTTCACTGAGCTCGGTGTAGTGTAATTTTTTATTGGACTATTTTCCTTTCATAAAAGATTTCAAACAAAGAATGAAAGTTTTTATGTGAATGATTTCAGAGCACTTAAGTTGGACCTTGAACTGAGTGGCGAAACTGAAGTTCTCAATGAAGTCCAGGGATCCATATGTAAGTTTTTTACCAAATGTTAATTTGAGAGATTTACTAGGTCCAAAATGGCACTGATAAGATCCAATCTGTTTGTTGACGGTGGGATTCAGTGTTTCACACAATACGTTCGTTCGTTAGGATCTTATATGCGATATTTAGGAGGTTCACCTCATCGCAATATCGTGGAATTCCCATTTTTAGAGGATAAGTCTGAGCATAGTTATGTGATTTTGTAATCTTCAGGACATTTTCAAGGTCATAGCAATCTTCACAGACCTTGCTGATTGGACTAGACGCAAAGAGGCTCGGAGTTTCTTTCCGAAGATGTTATGTAGCAGCTGCAAGAACAATGAGTGGTATGAAACAGTCTCTCATCCTTTAAAGCTCGATACTCCAGTAAATGTTTTAAGTTTTAAATTTTCGTTAGAGTTGCCATTTGTTTCGAAAATTAAAAAAAAAAACTTATTATTTACTAGCTCAGACAAATGATTGTCTAGGCTGATTAGTATATTGAAAAATATTTATCACTGAAATGACCGCCTCGCTAAGTTTAATAAACTTCGATCCGCCTAAGGTTATTTTCTACGACTTTTTGGCACATATTGTACGGTATCTAAGCTATAAGTTTACGAATGTTGGTTTTCAACTGCGCAAGAGTCATAGATTTATCTGCAGAAGCACTGCGCATGGCGCACAAAAAAGAGTCCAACGGTGTCAAATAGCACGATCTCGACGGCCAGTTGACATCGTCAAGACCAGGTATTATGCGCAAAAAACCCATATTTGTTCGTCTTGCTTGGCATGTGACATCATTTTGTTGTGATCATAACTCTCCAAATTGACAGTGACCATCTCGCCGTTGTCCTTTTCAAAGAAGTGAGGTCCAATCACACCTCCAGACCAAAGAGCGTACGAGGCAGTAAGTTTTTTTTCTGAACTCCAAATGCTAATTTACGTATCCCCTGAAGAGAGAAAGGCGGATCGTCGCTGAAGAAAATTTTGCTCGAAAAATTACCGTCCACTGCTAGTGGTTCGAGCACCCAATCGGCGTATGTACGGTCAGCTGTGAATGGTCAGCTGGCATCAGTCGCTATGTGAGCTGTACTTTATATGGTCGAAGGTGTAACTTCAGGAACAAAATATGTTATAAGTTGCGGTAGGAAAGTCCCCGCTCTTGAGAACTTCGAGGTCTTCGGTCACACTTACACATATAGTAGCGATATTTCAGGTGGAACGAGCAAAATGATGATGCACAGGCCTTATAATATCTCTAAGCAATGCAGTTACCACAAATTTCTTTAAAATTTTACCACCACTTGCTTGAATAGTTGGAGGATTAAGTGCACCATAGTCTCCGCTTAAAGCACGAAACCTGGCCGAAACCTTTGAGATACCAATTTTGTTGTATGAGTTAAAAGTTATAACGCGCTGTGCGATTGTTAAGCGTTCGACCTTCGTAATTGAGAATTTTTATTAAAACAAAACATGTTTGGTTTGGCAGTTTAGATGGAAAGATGCCAATATGCAGCCCAGTACTGTTGAAAACACGAAATGGATAGCGCTATATTTTAATAAAATTTGTATTTGAATTAAGACTTATTAAGATCCTTACCAAATTTTCTTTCAGAAAAAGGTTGCCAACTATTTTATTTAAAAAAATTTTTTTTTGAATACTTTTGAAAATTTATTTTCGAAATAAATATTTGTAAAAAAAAATTAAAAAAACCATAGAAGTGTGCACATATATATGTAAATAGATTTATATTTCTTTTTCCAGCCTGTTAAAATTATTTGCCCATTTTTGGTTTTATTTTAATTTTTTTTTGTCATTTTTTTGGGTTTTTAAATTTTTCTTCAAACACGCGGCGTTAAAACAGGTATGAAATACCCGCTTAAGTGCTCTAATTTCCGCAATTTCAGTTGCCAAATAGGCAAAAGCTTTCAAGGTAATTAACATAAGCTTCAGAATGATGATACAAACACCTCTATATATATATATATATATACACATGTATATATGTATGCATAATTATGTATCTGTATTTATCCTTAGATTAAAAAGGTGTCTACTTTATAGCATATTCCTAAACGTTTTCCAAACAAATGCAACACACACAAAAAAAAAAGAAAAAAAAATAAAATAACGAGCAAACCAACAACAACAAGAACACCAACATCACATCGAAACTCATCTGCCCAATATTGTTTAAATGCCACCGTCGTCGATACTGCAACGTATACGTCGCGTACAGCATCTAACACACACACACACACACACACGACACGATACGACCACAACTTAACATCAACTACTAAATTAGTTTCGGAGCTCGTAAAATCGACGGCGGACTACTAATTTATTGCCTCATTAAGTGCGAGCAGCTTCCAATTGTTTCACGCGTAGCGGCAATCGACGTGAACAACACTCACCAACCATAACTGTTGTAGTTGTAGTGGTGGTAGAAGAAGTAGAAGAAGCAGCAGCAGCAATTTACGCCTGGCTCACAGGTGTGTTGCGGCGGTGTGGTGTTGAGCCGGGGGATAGGTATGCCAGTTGGAGAGTTTGTTGCGAACTGTCTGTACGTTCATTTGCTCGTACCTATGTGTGTCTGTGTGTGTATGTGTGCGTGTTGATTGTTCTTGTGATTTGCATAAATTCTAAATCGGTTTAAAATTTATTTGTTCAAAGCTTCCGCTCGCTTCGCACCAACGGCGGCATCAGCAGCCAAACCGCCGGTCATAGCAACACCACCACCACCACCACCACCAGCATCACCACCGGCAACGAGTTTTATACGTGGTTTTTCTACTTTCATTTGTTATTTGTCTTTTTTTTCACCGTATAATTTTAAATTTAAATGCTGGTTTAATGCTTTTTTGGCCACTCGTTCTAAAGAAATTAAAACAGAAAACAAAACATAAAAGAAAAAAATTAAAAAAATAAAATAAAAAATTCAAAAAAAAAATATATAAAATAAAATTAAACTGCAACTCTGCTCCTTAGCCACGCTTCTGACTCCGCTTAGCGTATTTCACGCTTTTGCATATTAATTTCTTCTCCTTTTTGGCTATAAATATAATTTAAAATATTGTTTTTTTTTTGTTTTTAAGTAAAATTTATTCATTATTTGATTTACATTTGCGTAGTTCGGCGCGGGCTCGTGGCTAATTAAAATTTTACACATTTTTAATGTTGACAATTTAATTTAATTTACATTTTTTTTTTAATTTATTCCACCATATCATATGCAGAGCAGGGATGCAGCAAGCTTGATTTACGACTTGAGTGTTTAAATTTGAGTACTAATTTGAGCGAAATAAAGTTCAATACTTTTTTAGCCTTAAGAGTAAATCAAGTAGTAAACCTCTAGGTTAGAGAATGCGTTAAATGGTCAGTTTTGAGTTACTTTGGTGGCTTATTGTGCATATATATTGAGAGGGTCGTCTTCCTGGTATATGAGTGTGAGAGAGAGCGAAAGGCGTACGAAACTCCAAACTGTCTACTTTGAGTCTAAATCTTAAATATCAGTTTGAGTGATATGAGAATTAATTAATTTATTTAAAATTATTATTTATTATTTCATATTTTTTAACGCAAATATTTTATTCATTAATTTTTTTCATCTATATTTTTTTTCTTACAGAAAGAGCAGCAGTGCTTTTGATTTAGAACTCCAATATCAGTTTGAGTGACATGAAAATAATTAATTTATTTGAAAATATTATTTTTTTTATTTTTGTAATTTTTTAATGCAAATATTTTACTCATAATTTGTCATAAGTAATTTTTTCTGTTATGATTTAGAATTTTAATATTGTATTTATTGCTTTACATTGTTTGTTTCTACTAATATGATATTTTTATTGTTTGTTTAATATTATTATTTCTTTTATAAAAGCATTCTTGCGCCAATATTATTTATTTATTTATTTTTTTTTTCATTTATCTGTTTATCTGTAATAGAAAATTTTA